TTGCCGACCAATACCTGAGGGGGATGGGTCCAGGGTTCGAAAATCCGGTTGGCCGTCTTTTTCAAAACTAAGTCCTAAAATGTGTTCTCCATAGTTGACTTACTATTTACAAGTGGTTTTTATCAAAAACTACGAGGATCGAAAAGTGGTCTTACCGCCACTTGTCCTTTGAAAGTATCAATGAAATGGATGAAATAGTTGCCAAGAGAATTTCAATATTGCGATGACTTTTCATTTCAAGTAATGATCAATGATGTTTTTCTTGGCGTATGATATAGTACCTATCTTTCATAGTGTATTACTATAGTCTTCAAATGATGTATCATTGGAAAATTCTAGTTTGATTCTTTTTGAGATGGTTCAATGTGACCTTCTGACGATGTTTGTCAAATCAAGTTGAGCATCATCACTCAAACTTAGTCAAAATGAAACTTTGAATTCCAATTGATGACAAACGATTTGATGTGATTAGACTCTTTTTAAGAGAATGTTGGTCGTTGATGAATACAATCAAATAGAAATCTTATACATCGATTCATTCAAACAGATGTATTCCCTATCTTCGTACATTTCGAAATAAAAAACGATCAATTTATCGAAGACGTTCCACTGACAGTATTTTCTCAAACGATCGTTCATTATTCGATTTCTACAATTGAACAGGAAATCATTCATGGACCAACTACACTTTTGATTTGTTTTCTTTGATAGTGATGAGTGAAGTTTCCTCAAATAGAATGGATTCGATACAGATTCAATTACAAGTTCTTCTACTGAAATTTTGTTTGCTGCGGATGTAGCTGCGACTGTGAGTGTGCTTGCGTGCGAATCTTTTTCCTATCGAAACTCACATCAATACAACAGTCATAGTAATGCTCTCTTGGTCACTGAGATAATTTGGACATGAAATACTCGAATATGATACTAGCTTACCGAACGCGCATTTGTTTAGAATTGGCCAAGCCTATTTGATACTATGCAAGATAAATTTTTTTTCTCAAAATCACGTCCTAATTAATGAAGCCAATATTCAAGAGCTTGTAATTGTTAATAAAGCCGTACGAGAAGCGCACCAATATTTCTCTCGACCTAGAACAATTCAACTATCGATTCAGTCACTATCGTAGTGCAATGGAGCAGGCATTTGATCATCTACAGAACTGATTTCAGGCAACACACAAGAATATTGAGTACGATAGTGACAATATCAAAACCGTCGCAGAGCAGCATATATATGCTGCACAATGTATATATCAATGCGCCGGATGCAATCGAAATTGAATGTAATTCAACCGAATCCGTATACAGAAAAACAAGTCTATAATATTCAGATGATTTGAAAGACTAGGTATTAAAACAACACTTGCAGTTTATCTTTGCTAGAACTTGCTTCCTGAATATTCACTGGTTCTTCTACAATAGTCTGTCTCTTGTGAGTTATAAAAGATATATCTGAAACAAAAGAGATTACCTCTGCAGCTTCATCAGTTGCGTCGTTTCCTTGGAAGCCCTCTATGGATGATGAAGTGAATAGAATGTGACACGTCTCTTTAACCTGCATACATGTGTTGAATTGATTTGTTCCGTCAATATTGGAGAGGCAGAATTTATATTTCGATTGGTGAATTAATGGCTAGATATAAACATGAATAAAATTAATTCACAGTTAATGCTACTACATTTTCATAGCGAACATTGGACCTATTGTTTTCTTGAAATCCGCAGGGTAAGTAGAGAAAATTTTACAGGTAGGTGCAGAAATTTTAAACAAAGATGTCGTCCTCTAGAACAAAGAGTAGTTTGATGATTCATTAGGCCTTTGCGAAGCTTTTCACTGGGAAGAACAAAAACTGTCTTCGAAGGAAGTGGAATCGTTTGTATTTCATCCCTATATCCATCACTTCGAGTCTGTAATTGTCCTATATATATATTTCGTCGAAATACTAATAAAACCACGATGTAGGTTTCATATCATAAGAGTAGTATTTCGATGTTTTTAATTCATCCTTAAATCTGAGAGAAAAGTCAAACATACAGTTTTGTGGAGAGAAGTGAGCTTAATCAATTGTCATGACCAATGGACCGAAAGGTTTGAAACAAAGTGTTTGTTTTTTTTCCGCTCATGTGAAAGTATTCTAGAAGAATCAGCAGCTATATATTAGTACCAAATTTTTGTTTTGTTTTCAAATATATCCGCAGAAAGCATCTGACAAACTTTGTTCGAAAGCAATAAGGGAAAATATCGGAAGGTATCAAAGAATCGTTTGAGTCGAATGGTTGGGCTGAAATTTGTAGACAACATTTTGTATATTTTTGACCTACTTGAAAGTATTCGTGATCGATGAAAACTATTGCTTAGGGCTAGAATATTGTGCTATTTTCCAATGTGAGTGCTGAAATTTCGTATCTGTTTTTGCATGAGAGTCGTAAGAGAATCTTTAAATGAATTGTAAAAGTGGCTTGAGTGGAAAAAAAACCATAAGTTTCTTTTAACGACACAATAAATCGTTGTATTTAGTAATCTTGTAGAGTGAGCAATCCTGTACAGAATGTAATGTCAAATGAGATTATAAGCCTTTTCTAAGGCACTACTTTCTGCATAAAGTGTAGTTTAATCAACAAGTTGATTTTCCAAAAGTTGTAGCATGAAGAAAACAAGTCTTAGTGCATCATTAGAAGGCAAAAATTAGCTGAATTAGTGCATTTTTTAAAGCAGCTTTTCTCTGCAACCTAGGCTTGGAACAAATATTTTCAATTAAAGGTTTCGGATTTAAATAATGAAAAACGAACATGTATCGAAAAATTTCCCGTCCAAACTAACAGGTGTTCCATAAATAACGAAGTTTTTTGTGTTTTTCGCTCTCCTACACTTATTTTGACGGTTGAGATTTGATTTTTTTCCCAATGATACTCCATTCAATTTTCAGAAAGTCATATGGAAAGAGTTCTTGTAAAAAATAATCTTGAAATCTTAGGCTGTCCCTAACTGTAAGCTACTCCGAAGAGGTCTATTTTCAAACTAACTATTTATTTTGTGGATTCTACACCGCGATTTGATTGAATTCGTACAAACTAAATAAGCTTTTTTGTGATCCATGAAAATTCTCCAAGACCAATGGGAGTTGAAAATTTCTAGGGCTTAATTCAGTAGGAAGCTTGCTTTTCATTCTCGTCTACTTTTTTATTCTTTTTGAATTCATCTTTGAATTTGATCGCAGCGACGCTGTAATTCGATCAAAGTATGAAATTTTATGATCCAGTCTTTTGCCAATTACGAGAAAAAACGCTTATTTTATTATCCAGAAAATACTAAACAGGTAAAACTTAACATTTCTATCTTAGAAAGTGCAAGATTGAAATTTTCGATCTACCGAATCAAGTTCCCAAGGAAATTGGATATTAGTTCGTCATGATATACTACAAACGATGTTGTTTTGAGTACCTAGAAAAAGAGTACAATCGAAAACATACTAACATGATGTATCCGAATCACTTGGATTCTTCTTGATCAGACGAGTACAATAATTAATTTTGGAGTAGAGGGCGTTTGTACCGATTTTCACCAGGCACACACTAGTGTTAGCCGCATAAGATTTTGCAGTTGTATTTTTCCGCAATTTTTTTCATAAAATTTTGTACACAGTTAGATAGATGATCGCTTAGAAAAATTGAAATCTTAATCATCAAACAAATAAAGAAAAACAAGCAATACAAACAGTGCCATTATTCATGGGACACCGATTGTTTTGTCAAGCTTTACAAAAGGTTTCCTCACTACTCTCGATCAAAATTTGACAAATAATATCCGAGCTCATATTTAGAAAGAGCATCAAATTCTGGAATTAAACAATATTTCTTGAATCTTCTGGAACGATTTTCTATAAGCCAAAAACTGAACAACAAATTTGTGTAGCAAATTTGGACATACTTGTTTTGAGCACTTATCGAATAGTACCGGATTGAAAGTTGTTTTTTTTTCTGAAACAAAATCTAGCTCTTTATCAAATTGGTGGATACTCTTCGTCATATCACTAGAGAAAATCTACTGAACTGATTAACATCTACGTTTCATTTGAAAAAACTAAAATTACTGCTCGGAAACTTTCCATTGGGTAAAACTCAGAAGTAGGTAACTAGTAAAGAAATAATTGAAATAGAACAATAACCAAAACTCAGCCATTTTTAGTGATTTCAAAGGAGCTTGATTCAGTAAATTAGCTCGAATTGATCAGGAACACGGTTTCAAACTGTAACATTTTACATTTCAGTAAGATAGAAGGTAGTGTGTTTCATGAGACGACTAAATTGGAAGCTTGACTTTTGAAGGTGAGAGTGAAGATTTTTAGTGACATGAACAATAGTACTGTCATATTGTCATTCTAAAAATACTTCGGCTTTCACTTAGTGCGTAGTACTAGCTTCACACTGATCTATTCTTCCTTGGTTATCGCTGCAAAACGTCTCAAATCTACAAAATGCTTGTTGGTGATGACATAAACACTTAGAAACAGAGCATACATTCCAAGTGAACAGTAGAAATCCTACCTTAAAGGTAATAATGTGGTTACTCAAAGAGCGTTATTCGATTCTGTCCATATTGATATGTTTCCGACAAATAGTCAAGTTATTCGCAGTCATTTTTTTCTTGCATATTAAGTCTCGACATTGTTGGTTCAATTTTTGCTTTTCTACCGAATCCCATGGATAAATCGTCTTTCTCGAAAATTGGTCAACTTCTGCAAAACATCCACAAAAGTACATCTCCTACTAAGATGACACTGCCATCACTTGCATCGACAATGTTGACTTTACCTAGTAATGACGACTCGGTAACTCATCTAAGTTTCGATAATATTAGTCGATCGCGCGATTATGATGCATTGATGAAGGTAAATTCATCGTCTGATATACATCAACACTATCAAGAATCCACTCATCATCGATTCAAGCGTGATGTACATCAACTGAATACAAATGATAGTCCGAGTTTAGTCGACAATTTAAAATCAGAACAGCCAATTTCGACGCCAATGACTCTAGCTGATCCGTCGCAGTCATCATTATTGACCTTGAAGCATGATCGATTCTTGATTAATCATACAAATGATCATGATGATGGACAGTTTCCTTCGTTTTCCTCATCCACTGATGATACGATAAGAACTTCGGGATCTACTCATCGTGATCGATGCTCATCAATGCTAGATGATCAGCTTATCGAACATTCGCCATCCGTCGTCTTAAATCAGAACAGGTATTTATCGTACGAATTGCTGAAAGATAATAATGAACTTATTGAAGTTTTATTTCTTCAGAATCTCTCAACGAATTCCGACAACATCACCGGCATCCTTGTCAATGTCATCCGAATCTGGTAACTGTAATAGCGTTTCATATGGTGTCGATTGGAGTGATCGCGCTCGTCCTACATCTCACTGTTGGTTTCCTTACACATTCAACTATCCATCAACTGCTCAACGTTGTGCCTATGCCACTTGTTCAAATCGTAAACCAACAGTTCTAATGCCATTTCTGCAATGTGGATCATGTGGACTGACTGTGCATGCGCATCATTTAAATGATTCACATGCGACTGAAGATAATGTTCTTTCATCCTGCCGTCCATCGTTTATCGATAATCCGATATCGGAAAAATTATATGTCAACGGCGAAGATAATCCATCAAATTTTGATAAACATTTTTGGACTCATATACCCACTCTAACTGAGCCATGTGTGTATTGTAACCGAAAATCAATACCTAAGGGCTTATTTGTCGCTAGACTCGGTCAAACATCGACGAGACCCGCATTACATATTACATGTCAGGATACAACAATCACCAGTACTTTATCCAAAAGTTGTAGTCCGAAAATGTCTCACACATCTACTGGTCTCCTTTGTTTATGGTGCTTTCGAAGTTATCATCAACAGTGCTGGGAACATCTCAATGCTGAAGAAGACAAAATCAAATGTGACTATGGACTATTAAGGTAAGTTTTCGATATTCATTATTCAGATGAATAAAAAGGAAATGTTGGATGATCTTGTGGCTCACTCGAATACTCTATGGTACTTCTTGCCAGTTTCATTATCATTCTCTTGATAGATTTCTAGCGCTGTTCATTGATGATTTGCTTTAAAGCTTGAGCTGTTAAAAGGAGGAAAAAATCTTGAAATGTTCTGATAAATATGCGCATTGCGAGTTGCATAGGAAAAAATTCCATTTCACTTCCAGAGTTTATCTGGCAATTGCCTGATATGTTTCGATTGTTTCTTTTTTTCAAAATTTACTATTAGTTGAGATTGATATGTTAACTTTCTTCGATAGAAATATTATTGTCCGACCACAATGGTTACATCGATCCAATCAGTCGTCATCTGGTTTCCGAGCCGGATTTCCTTCGCATTCTACCGATAGTTGTTCTACATTGAACAGTTTTCCTTATACACCTACTCTAGTCTTCATAAACAAGCGTTCAGGTGGTCAAAATGGAGAGGAAATCTATCGAAAACTCTTGCAAAAACTCAATCCACGTCAAGTATTTCTTTTAGAAAGCGATGCCACCATCGTCAATGCTCTAGATATCTATATTTCGCTACCGAATACTCGTATTTGTGTTTGTGGTGGTGATGGAAGCGTTAGTTGGTTTCTTTCTCGTATAGCTGAAGTTTATTCGTCGAATAATAATCCACCAGTTGCTATCTGTCCATTAGGAACTTGCAATGATCTTTCACGCGTTTTAGCCTGGGGCGGACATTACAATTCGAAGCAGCTTCTTCCTACGCTCTTAAAAATTCCTCAAGCTCAAGTGGTTCCACTCGATCGTTGGCAAGTCCATATTGAACACATCGATTTGCCAAATTTGACTTCAATGAGACGACAACATCGTGACAATAGATTTCAAATCAGTGGAATATTTCAACCGTTACTCAGGGAACCGAAATTTATTCGTGAAAGCAATCGCGCCACCTATCAGAATCATCGCTCATTGCCAAATACACATTTTGTCAATTATATGAGTTTCGGCTTAGATGCAGCAATTGCTATTGAATTTCACGATCGACGCACATATGATCCGGCCAAATTTTCGTCAGCGTGGAAAAATAAACTAATGTATTTGAATGAAAGCCGTAAATATTTGAATGACTTCGTTCGATCAAAAATGTGGAGTCTCGATACGTATATTCGTTTGATATGTGATGGTGAAAATCTGACTGATGCACTACATCATTATCACACGCTACTGATTCTCAACATTCCAGCTTACGTGTCTGGTACAAATCCGTGGGGAAAACCTTCATCAATGAGCTCAACTACTAGCAATTGTAGCCATTCGCTGATTATTGAGAAAGACAAGGATTCTCTCAGTCACATTTCGACGAGTTCAGTCGATGTACACGATTTACCAGCCAATGCACATGCAATCAATGAATCGATCACTTTGAACGGTTGTGATACGAATCAACATACGACTCCATCGACAACAACAATCAAAAGCGGTCGTTTTGAACCACAAGATTTTGGCGATCAAAAACTAGAAGTCGTTGGCTTGAGTACCAGACATATGGCTGCGATTCATATCGGCTTTCATGGTAATCGAATTGCCCAATGTAATCATTTGCGGATCGAGCTCTATCGTCCTATGACGGCACACATGGATGGTGAACCATTCTATCTACCAGCTTCCGTAACTGTAAATATTAGTCACGTGGGTCAAGTACTTGTGTTAAGAAATGAGAACAGATAGATAATAGTGCTTTTTTTTGTGTTTCCTGCATACATCAGTTTCCTTTGAGTATATATGTATGTTTTCTTTTGCTATGTTTCGACTAAAAAAAATACATACTGCTGATCTATGAATTCGCTAATCTTTTTCTGAAAGCCTAGATGTATACTAACAAGTAACGCTCGTCGCTACGACTCGCTTCACCCTCGACTGAATTCATTCTATTCACTTTGACAAATATTATCAGATAAATCGTCAGTCTGTGTGATGCTATAGCCAACACCATACGAACAAATCTTTCAACTTTTGCAATTTTGAAAAATCAACACTGATAATGTCGAGTTTGGAATATGTAGTATGCGCGGGATATTCTCATCATAGATTACATTTCTTTGGCTTTTATGAGAAATTGGTACGATTTTGAATTAGTTGTCTTCACCACAACAATTGCCTCAGCTCTTTTGAAAAATACTCTATATTTCATTTAAAGTTTTACGCAAGCAAAGACGTGCTACCTCGTAAATAAATGGCGAGTCGCTCATCAGCGTCTCTCGAGGGCGCCAGTTGTAACTCACCGATCTCAGATTCTATCTACTTGATCGAGCTCTTCTGAAAACTGTTGTCCAATCTCTAGAAAGCTTCACGAAAGAAAGGCTCATATCAATCTTAGAAACAAACGGCGAGTCATTCGTCGGCCCCATTCGTGACTTGCTAGCTCCATATCCTATCTTCTTTCCCAACTAATCATTAATTTGTGTTATGATTCAATTAAATTGGTTTCCTCTTAACGAATGAATCCATCTATCTAATCGAAAATGAACTTCTTTTTTATTTTTCAAACAATCACTGCATATGGACCATCGATCTGTATAAAACTTATGAAGACGAAAGATGCTTTTCGAACAAGATTGCCTATCACACTTTTTTCACTATAAAATCATCACATTTTCGATCAACCCGCGATCTCTTTTACGAAGTGGATTTTCAAGAGCATTTACATATTTTATAGTGAAAAAAGTGTCCTTAAGCTACATTTTCGCATCATTTGAGTTCAGATTATTGTGAAACTTGAGGAAAATTACACCTAGAAAAAAACTTAATCGATAATTCTCTATGAACAAACATCTTTCGTCCTAATGAATTTTATAAAGATCGATGGCCTAAGTATTGCTCTTTCAAATGGAGAAAACTGCAGCTCTCTATCTTGTTCCTATTAAAAGTTATTTGAAACATGGCAAACTGCCTTTTATTTTGGATCGGATAATACATGAGAGTAGGTGAATCATCATTCGTATGAATAGAAAAATATTACTGAAGCAACGTATGTATAATATCATAGTTAGTGTTCAGAAGACCTTTGCATACGAATAGATAACACTCAAAACAACATAGTAATGAGAAAATAATCATATGAAGATATTTCTCCACATCATATGCTCCTTACAATAGTATGAAAAAGTCATCAAAAAAATAGCTATGTTTTTCATTTTTGTTCCTGGAGATAAACATATTGTATTTTTATAGCTTATGAAAGTCAGAAGGTAGAAATGACACTGCAAAAACCTATTTTCTAACGTTTTTACTATGAATATGAGCTATGAACCATGGTTCATCTTTAGTGAAATAATTAGTCTATTGCGCCGAAATACGAAGAGATATTCAAATCTTTTCTTGCCCGATGACTTACGAGATACCTTGTATATAAAAAAAATAACGTTAATCATTTTCTTATTCATTGTTCAATCGCAAGGTAACTCAAACAAGATAACGTTCGAAGTAGGCTTTTCTTCTTTGCTTATTTATTTTCCCCAGAGAAGAAAAGTTGATTTTATAATCTGAATTTTTCTATATTTCAATTTCATCGAAAAAAATTTCTCTAGTGTTATAAAGTTGAATTAAAAAGAAAAACAAGCGGCTTAAAAATGAAAAGCAGTGACTCGTATTAAATGTTATAAATAAAGAAAAAAAAATGGCAATGATTAAAGTACGTAAAGACTAAAGATGCCGAAGAGATACATGACCATCGAAAGACATGTTTGCTCATTTTATTCGAAGCTTTTGATTTGTCAATCTCATTTGCATCTCGACATATGTTTCATATCTGAAAGAAGAATGTTTGCAAGTAGTATCGACTAAAGAATGAAACAAGAAAAAAAGCAGTGTGTTATATTATTACATCATGAACGAGCAATAAGAAATCAGTTATCTCACATGATATTTTTTATTATACAATGTCTTTGAGTCGAATAGATCGGTTGCCTATTGAATTACTTCACGATATGTTTGATTATCTTTGAGTGCATGATATCTACTATTCATTTTCTAGTCTAAGTGATTACCTGGATTCTGTATTAGCTGGCTATTGTCGCTATTTACTCAACTTTCGTTCTGTTCTTAAATCGAAATTTGATCTTCTTTGCTAACATATATGACCACATCAAGTTATTTCGATTATATTGTCCCATGACAATGATACATCAAATCAATCAAACCTTGTCTTTTCTCATTTTAAACTCGAACAATTCATTCATTTTCAATCATTCGATATGACTACGATTAGTGATAATAAATACAGACCTACACTGCTATATATAACCTGATTCCTTGACTGAATCGACTAGCAATACTTCATGCTCATAATTTCGTTTTGGCTTCATTGCCTCATCTACGTCATTTAACTCTTCAAAGTTTCTTTTGCTGGGGCTTATCATTTATATTGAATCAAATTCGTAATCTTCATTCACTTGATGTCAAACTTTCATATGATAATTATCCAAAGTGAGCGTATAATATATCATTATTGCCCCATCTAAGATGGCTCATCCTAATCATTCATGGTGCGTATAATTATTTGAAAATTGTATATATATATGTTCTTTGTTTTTTAAAATCAAGGCAAAAAAAAAGATCATGATCCATGTAGAATAATTTTTATCTAAAATACGTAATCTATATTGTTTCGAACTTATTGCACAAGGTTAGCTGGATCTTATTAATGGCCAAAAATGGGAATTACTTGTTTCACATTTGACTATATTCAACTTTTGATTGCATCTTCAATGTTCGTTACCAGATTTTTCCAAAGAAAATATTCTTGATTCATTTTGCTCACTATTTTGACTTGAACAAAAACGCTGATTTGTTGCCTATGATGGTCCATATTCGCGAAATATCTTTACGATACCTCGTTTTACATCAAACATTTTCGTATGTCCGAATATTTATTGACCACCAATATGCACATCATCCAATTTCTGTTTTAATGAGATAAATATATCCATCAAGTTGATTTGTCATTATTTAATCCAATTATTTAACGTTTTATCAATGTCACATCACTCGTATTCAGTATAGAAGAAACCGACACCAATCTTATATCGACTTTATTTTTCGATCTCATTGAACATATGCCTCATTTACGTTCACTTTCGCGTCAAGATCTCTCTATATTAGCTGGCTTATCACATGATATCGCCTTCGAAGCTATACGAACTTTACACGTACGAAACAATTTTGAAAGAATCTGAAATTGAAACCCACTATCGATTGGACCTAAATCGACTATGTAGTGTTTTTCCTCGTCTCGAATATTTATATATGAGACTAATTTCTCGCGATTATGTAGTTTTATTAATTGATCAATTGAACTATCTATCAATTGCACAATTTCAATTCTATTCTCGTTCATCGTCACTGACACGTTTCTCATCTCAAAGTTTTTGCTCTAAAGATATTTCATCATATGTGAGAGTGAAATGAGATGGTTTCATGTTTTATGCGACAGTTCAATGATATCTTTGAGAATAATAAGTTATAATTGAGTACGAAAAACTAATCAATCTTTATCGAGATGATAATTTTTAATTTCATTGAGTGAAAAACCAGTTCAGACCACTTGAGTTTCTGAATAGCGTTTTAAATTTTATAGTAATAATCTCCTTATCAATAAAAAGAAAAATACAAACACAATCATATAAAAATTGTCTTCGAAGACATTTTTGTACGCTGGAAATTTATTTTTATTTTATATTTATTCTGCTTCAGTGGGACTCTAATTCGTTCTCAAATATACCATTAATATATATTTTCTCATTGTTTTTGCTTTTTTATCCTTTGCTTGTTATTGAATATTTTGATTTTAGTTATCCGACAATCGAAATTCGTTCAAATGGTATTCGTCACTAACATATTGTTTGCGATAAATCATATTGATGAAACATTTTTGTTTATATGTTGAAATATCCGATACGTCAAAATGTTTTCAGTCTTGCGCATTTTGCATATAAAAAATATACACCAGCTCCAATGCTTTGACTACCTGTAAATTTTATCATGTCAAATAAGTCTTGAAAAAAACTCAATCTTATATCAATATCTATACAAAAATCAACATTTTTTCTACATAAGATGTTTTGATTTCAATCGTCTTTATCCAAAAAATTAGCTTTTGGAAAGCGAAATTATTTTTCGTTTCAACTCAGAAAAAGAATGAATATTTTTCGAATCAGTTTTGATAGAAACTAGAGAGTTTCACACTTGAGAACAGAAGATAAAAGTGTATTTAATCATATATTAGCACTATGTGAGAATCACATGAGCCCTTTTCTAGTACTCAATTATCGTAATATTCTGCTGCACAACTAACGTTTTCCGGCAGAATAAGAGATGGAAATAAGCATTTTTGTAAACTTTTTACTTTTCCAACTAAAAAATGAAAAGATAAATAAAATTGAATTGTCATGAGCTTTTCTTAAATCTATTGCCATTTTATGTGGAAATGGCACGAATCGGACAAAAAAAATTTTTCAAGCACAATATCGTGCGAGATTAAAATGTGAAATATGATCGAATCATTTCAAATATCCAAAGGGAATACTTCTTATTTTGGTTACAGCCCATCACAAGATTTAAGTAAGAAATTTCGAAAGAAGTAGCTTATTTTCATTTCGCTTGATTGAAACATGTTTCAGGAAAAAGCACATCAATTATCAAAAAAAAACAATCACTATCAAATTTTCGCTTTCGCAATAAGTTTGTCTGAGTCAATAATGATTTTTTTGTTCGTCCAATATTTTACATTTTAAACAGGAAATAACATTTTCATTTTACTCGATAGCAAAAGGCAATTCCCATCAGAAATTTGTCCTATTTTGTACCGTTGGACAGTTAGCCATCGTGGGAAAAATAACAGCAGAAAAGTTTGTACGCCATCATGCCGACTATTAAGAAAATGTCTCTACAATGAACGATCTTGACAATTTAACACCGATAACCATTTAGACAACTCTTATCGGCTAATACGAAGCATTTGCTAGAAGTCTTTCGAAATTGATGTAGAAAATTAAATAATAAATATACCATTAGTGGTATCAAATCATGCTGTTGCAATATCAACTAAAATACATGGGAAAGACTAACGACATGAGATATTCGAAGATTTTCAAAACTAATTCATCGGTTAACGATTCTAAATTCGTTGTCTTTGTCTATCATATGGCAAAATAATAAATCTGATTTCGAGA